GTTATATTTCTGAAAGCAAAGCTGTTATTCTCCTGCTCAGTATCCCTCCATGATTCCCCACATGGCCATTAAAATAGAGCCCATCCCTTCTTACCCACCTACTCCAGTCCCTACTCATTGTATAGGTGTCATCACCTCTTTTGGAAAGCCTTTTCTGACATCCCAAGTGTGGACTATCATGTAGTCCCCCTCCATTCCCATGCCTTATGACATCTCCTTGTGCTTGTTTTCAATCTGGGATTTTTGCACTGATTCTCTGTTGCTGTTTTTGTTGTTATTTTTAGGCACAGTTGAATACAGCGGTAGTGACCCTGTGTATGACAGAATGTTGCCTAGTAGTTCTGTGTCACATGCTCACTGTCATTACCAAGTTGAGTCCATTAGTTAGTCCATCCTGCTGAGGGTCTTATTTTTAATGACCAGATGTCCTTCTATAGGGACTCCTCCTAATAATGTGTCCAAAGTCTGTGAGATGAAGTCTCACTATTGGTTAGAAGGAATGAGCGACACTCTTTCCAAGACAGATTTGTTTGCTCTTCTGACAGTCCATGGCATAGTCAGTATTGTTCACTCAACACCACAATCCATAGACATCAGTTCTTCTTTGCTTTTCCTTATTCATTGTCTAGCTTTGCATATATTATTGTTGTTTTTTGCCATTGAGTTGGAATCAACCCATAGATGGTCCTCCAGCAGTTTTTCAGAGGCAGTAAATACCGTGGCTTGGGTCAGGTACACCTTAGTCCTCAAAATAATAGCTTTGCTTTTTAAAATTTTATAGAAATCTTTTTCATCACGTTTGCCCGATGAAATACGTTGTTTGATTTCTTGACTACTGCTTTCAAGGAAGTTGATTATGGATCCACGTAAAATGAAATGCTTGGCAACTTCAGTTGTTTTTCACGATGCCGCTTATTGATCCTGTGAGGAGCTTGAGGATTTTTGGTTTTGTGATACTAAAATATAATCCTTAAAGAAGGCTGTAGTCTCTGATCTTCATCAGCAAATACTTTAAGTCTTCTTAACTTTTAACTGTGCAAGGTTGTGGCATTTCATATCAAAGGTAATGTTAGCGTCTTCCTCCAATTCTGATGCCACATTCTTCATATAATTTTACTTCTTCCATTATTTGCTCAGCACACACATTGAGTAATTATAGTGAAATGACACAACACTAATGCATGCTTTTTGTGATTTTTAAACCAGGCAGTATTTCCTCGTTCTCTTTTAATAACTGCACCTTGGTCTGCCTAAGCAGAGTTAAGTTCTGCATAAGCACAATTAAGTGTTCTGGAGTTCCTGCCTTTGCAGCATTAGTCATAAATTACTGTGATCCACACAACTGAATGCATTTGTATAGGCATTAAAACACAGGGACGTCCTTTTCTTGTATTGGATTCTTTCAGCCAAGATCCACCTGCATCAAAACGATATTCTTCCTTACATGTCCTCTCACCTTTTCATCTCTAGCATAATAGGTCATATGATCATGGGATTCAACACATCCCATGCCAATCCATCTCATTTCACTCATACCCAAGATGGCAATATTAATGCATTCCATTTCTTTCTTTACTATGTCTAGTTTTCCTACATTCATACTTCTCACATTCCATGTACCAATTGTTAATTTCTTCTTACAACTGTTTCTCCTCCTTTGTGTTTCCAAATTTGAGGGCTATCAAATTTGAGGTCTGTCTTGGAGATGGTGAGACCAAGTTGCTCCTTGGAGGCTAGGATTTTGATGCTCCATCTCACATACTTTGGACATGTGGTGAGGAGATACCTGTCCTTGGAGAAGAACATCATTCTCAGAATGGTCGAGGGACAGCACAGGAGAGGAAGACCCAGATGAGAAGGATTGATACAGTGACTGGGGCAACAGGGGTTGTTGTGTCGGAATTAGTGAGACTGGCTCAGGACAGCAGGGCAGGCTTCAGAGCTAGTGTACATTGGATCACTATGGGTCACAGGCAACTCGACGGCACATAATATAACAGCTTTGTTTCTGGCATTCATTTTGGTCTTTTATTTCCTGTCTTTTTAATGACTATTTGCTTGCTTCTTGTATGATGATATTCTTGTTATCATCGTACAGCTTGTCTGGTGTTTGGTCAGTGCATCAAATTTGTTCTTGAGATGGTCTCTAAATTCAATTAGGATATGTTAAAAGGTATATTTTGGCTCCTACAGATTTATTTTCATATTCTTCAGCTTCACTTTGAAGTTGCATGTGAAATGTTGTCATTCTGTTCATTGTCAACCCTTGGTTTTGCTCTCATGAATGATACTGTCTCCATGATCTCTTTCCACACACACACACACACACACACACACACACACACACACACAGTCAATTTGATTCCTGTGCATTTCATGTTATTGGGTCCACATGTATAGTCACTCTTGACTGATTTGCTAGTGTAATTAAATGTCAACTATGATGGCCAGCTGGCATTTGAAAGATTTCAATTTTTGGCTGAGTTCCCATGCTACATCTTGTGGGAAATTAAGTGTCCATTAAAAGTTTCTCTAAATCTAGAGAGCTCATGTTCAAATGGTCATTTTGGGCTCCAACTAAATTTTATTATATTCAGGTTCCAGGTTTTTAGAGTAATTCCCCCCCCCCCTTAAAAAGACAATGTGATACCCAACTAGCATCAAACTGCTGCTGGATTATAGTGATCCTGGAGGAGAGGTAGAACTGCTCATAAAGTTTCCAAGGCTGTAAAAATTTGTGGAAGCCAAAAGCCACCCCAGGCTTCAATGTAGATTACACTTCAACAGCAAGAAAACAAAATCCACCCACCTGGGCCAATAGGCAACATCATGAAGAATGGAGAAGAGATTAAAGTTAACAGTGACTTAATTTTGGTTGGATCCACAGTCAGCATGATGGTAACAGTCAAGAAAATAAAAAAAACATGCTGTGTTGGCCAAGGACTTCTCCAAACAGCTGAAGGGCAAGAATTCAGTTTAAAGACTTAAGGTGTTTTCATTTGCCTCATGTGCGTGGGAAAGTTGAACAGTGAATAAGGAGGGCCAAAGAGCAATTGAGGCCTTTGGATTGTGGTGTTGACACAGAGTAGTGACTACTCTATAGACTGCCAAACGAGCAAACAGGTGTGGCCTGGAGGAAGTGCAGCAGGTGCTCCTTAGAGGTTAGAGGGTGAAACCTCGTCTCACATACTTCAGGCATGTTGTTAAAAGGGACCAGTCCTTGGAAAAAGACATCACTCTGGGGAAAGCAGAGCATCAGCAAAAAGGAGGAAGCCCCTCAGTGAGATGGTTGGACCCAGTGATGCAGGAATGAGCCTGGTGGAGATTGTGGGGCTGGCACAGGTTAGGGCGAAGTTTCGACCTGTTGTTCAGAGGGCCACTAGGCATTGTAATCTGTTCGGTGGTACCTAACAACAACTGCTACACATCTTTCTCCCCTGAAGCTTAACCCCAGCACCATGATGATTCCTTGCTTGTGTGATAGAAAGTGCTGAAGGTCCAAGATGAAGTCTAGAGGAAGTTGGTTTTTAACATCATCTTTAGAGATCTTTCAGATAGCCCAGTGCCTATGCCGGCGCACTGTGGGGCCGGATGGAGATGCTGATCCTGGCTGGGTTTCCTCTAAGGTTCTGTCTCATTGTCGTTTCTCAGGCCTGCCCCTGTCTCTTCTGGGCTTTATTCCTTCTCTGTCCTCCTTGGCTATCAAGTGCTTAAAAATGGAGAAGTTTAGGGTCTCCTTATGTTCTTCACCTCTACACTCCAAGTGGCTTGTCAAGGCATCAGGTGAAACAAAGGACCTCTACATGGAGGAATGCATGATGTTCTAGAATCCATCTACTATTCCATCATATTTTGTTGACTTGCCTGACTCTGTGTGGATTTTATGATTGCAAGGATCTTATCTGCTTTATTCGTCATCATACACCCAGCATCTGAAATCTAACTAGTGCTTGTTGGGCTCTTAATAAATGCTCAGTGAATGAGTGAATGAATGATGGAGAGTAGAATGGATTGGTGAGATGTTGCTTAGGCTAAATGACAGTTTGAATTCAACATCCTTCTGCCCCCAGGATTTCCAGAGGCCCAGTCTACATGAGCATATTGATCATCTGAGCCTAACAGCAAACCAAGTCCAGTTGTTCATTTCTTAATTCTGTTTGGCTATCACTGAGAATGGCTACATGTCTACAGCTCCCGTTAACGTAGTGAGAATGTAGGTGAACACCAGATCATGAAGACAAAAGAAGTGTAAAAGCCTATATACTTTAAAAAAATAATAGACAAATATGCTCCCCGTGCAACTAAGGCCATGTGAGAATATCTGAGGACTCTCTCAAGGTTGGTATTTTCCTCATATGCCATTTGACTTTCTGGAGAAGGCCATATCTGTCCATCCATCTGTCCATGTATCATCCATCCATTGAACCATCCACACATCATCCATTCATCTCCGCTGAAATAGCCATTCACTCCCTCAACTATCCATCTGTCCAATGCTAAGAAGCACACTCCAGTATCAGTGGTGTGAATGAGGATAGCAAGATCCTGCTCAACCAAGTTACTGTCAGAATTAAGGGGAACCATGCATGCAGGCAGAGCACTCAGCACTGGGTGTCTCTCGTAACCAAAGCTTAGCAAATGGTAGCTCTTCTTATTGGCATCTGAGTACCACATCGAGATTCCACAGCTCGAGCTCATTCTAAATTAGATAGTAAATAGTTCAATTTTATTATCCAATATTCTGAGAAGGATAAGATGAAGCAAACTAGAGAAGTTGAAAGGGTTGTGGAAGACCACCAGTGGAGATTGGAGTCTGGGACGTGCAGTTGAGTGGAGGGCCACCTGGGGCTGTCTGCCTCAGAAGCCAGTTCCCAGCATTGACAGGAGTGAGCAGTAAATAGGAACACAAAAGTAATGCGGAGTAAAGCCGAGTCCTCACCTCCCCTTCCTCCTCCTCTTCCTCGTCCTCTGTTTCCAGCATAGCTGGTCACAAGGCCAGCCTACGCCGGCGCGCTGTGGGGCCGGATGGGGATGCTGATGCGGCTCTGCAGCCAGCTGATGTAGTCTTCTTGAGGCATGTGGATGATGTGCTCTCGTACAAACTGCAGGGCAAATACAGTAACGGTGGCCTCAGAATTCGGTCTGAAGGAGAAGACTCCACCCCACCCCACCTTCCACACCCCAGAAGCTTTGTGGCTGATACTGGTGGCCCCAGCATCCCTGTGACCAGCTCATCTCTGGAGCATCATTCTGGCAGTGGTTCATGGGGGACGAGAACCCTTTGCTAACTTCCTGGCTTAGCCAGACTAGTGTCCTTTCTGTTGCTGTCAACCCAGAGGAATTTGGGAAAGCAGGAAACCCCAGATATCACCCTTCCCCCTCTTCTTTTCTACTCCTCGGTATCTACTGTAAGTCTTTGATACACAGACCTCTCTGAGAATGACAGCTCTGGACTTGCTCCTAGGAATGTGTTGACACATACAATACAGAGTCTGAATTCAGAGGCATTCCCTGCCCATCCAGGTTGGTTTTGTTAAAATAAAATTTTTCCCCTCCAAGTTTATAAGAAGTTCTATAATGTTTTCAGTGGCGAGAACAATAGTATAAATTCTGGACAGTGAACATAGCTCCATAGCTGCCCCCCTCCTTACTCGGGTCCTGTCTTCTTCATGACCTGTGACTGGTAGGCAGAGGATGGATGCCGAAACTAGATGAAAGGTAAACCCCAGAACTGCCAGGTAGAGAGTGGACAGTTGCCTTTGAGTTGGTTTTAGACTAGCTTGCTGGAGTCTTTCCTGAAAGACCTCACAAGGTATAGGGATTGCTGGTAGAACATCTGAATTTGTTCATAGGGTTGTCCCTGCCAGCTCTTGGCCTTGCACCCATACACACACTCCGTGGCCAAGGTCAACTAATAGAAGAGTCTGATGTGAAAACATCAAGAGACAGGCACATTTTTTTTTAATTTAGGTTGTTTAATTTTCATTTCAATGAACATCTACAGAGATTTTGGGATTCCATTCATTCATTGTTGCACCCTTCTCCCC